CAGCAGTTGAAATAGATCTGTGAAAAACAAGAGAATTAACTTGTTTTGATGAGAACAACTAAAAAGCTTGGCTGAATGTCCTACATCAGCATCTTTGGTGCATCCCCTCCACTTTGAGGTACTGTGACATCAGTTATTTTTTGTTTACTGAATATCTTTATAAACCAAGGTTTATTTCCAGCAGTGGTTATTTCAGTAGGGTTGCTTCAGCAGAACTTGGACCTAGTGTGCTGTGTTAGGTTCCCACAAACTCTTTCTCTCTCCTGCTTCCTCTCTTTTTAATGTCTCCTCTTGACACCTTTTTACTAAAGAAGCATAGCCAATTGCAAGATACCTTGCTTTCATGTGAAAAAGCAAAACTGGCCACTCTCCAAGATTTCTCATTTTAAGTTACCTGGAACATCGTTTTAAACAGGAACCACATGTATTTACTGGTAGGCAACCCAATAATTTCACTCTCCACAGGAATTTTGGGATGCATACATTAATGGTATAAGCATGGGGGACAAAAAAAGTTACTCTGAATGAGAAACCTAGTGTTTACAAAAGCCGTGCTTGATACTTCAGGGTGGAATTTGGTTTCATTCCCCAGCATGTTAAATTGTAACTAGGCATGTGTGATTTAATATAGCAGAGTGATTTCCTGATTTGTTTTTAATTGCCAGTATACACAGACTGCATTTTCAGCATGAGTTATTTTTATTTTAGATGAAAGAAAATGGGAACAATAACAAAGTCTTCATGAGAAAATACTGTTCTGTAACATTTCTTGCAAAATGTGAGTTTCAAGAAATGTTAAGATGCCCAGAAAAGGAAAGTAACTGCCTAAGTTCCACATCAAGCAAGGATTCAAGCACAGCTTACTTCAGTGGGAATTAAATACATGCTTTGATTAAGCATAACCAAAAGTCTTCTTAAATCAGGAGTTTGTTTTATATATTCATACATAATATATATGTATTAATCATTGTTCATTGTATTGTAACGGATTCACAAATAAGAGAGCCACATGTAACATACACCCAACATGGTTCCCACGACATGTTTATACATAACTTTGATTCTGTATTTGCCCTATGGCTGAAGGTAGCTTGTTAGGAGGGGAATTGGCATTTGTTCTTTCTCAGCCCTTCATCTGTATTAAAACATTCACATTCTACTGTAACATTTTCATTTACAACCCCTTCAGGCCAATAAAAAGCATAATCATTTTCCTCCCTAGTAACTGCATGGACATCAGCTTTAATTTCAGCACACTTTGCTCTTCCTAAACCTTTTTGTCTGGTAACAGCTGGTCAGTATATTTCTTCATTATGCCCCTTTTCCCAAAAACGGCTATGCCATGCTCCCAGTAATATACCTTCTTGACAATACCTTTGTCCTAATTGTTTTATCCTTTGTAATTTTAGGCACATGCTACTGACAGATACAGAATGCCTGGGAGGCATATATTACAGATTCTATTTCCTCTACCATATTTACCTAGTTCCTGTGCAAAATAAATCATATCTGTAAAAAATCATAAAGTCTAAAAAGACTTCATATAAAGCTACCAGTATGGCGGACTTTGATACAGAGTTCGTATTTGCAAATAAAATTCTGCTTCATTTTCTCCAGTATTTTTCAAATGTATACACAAAAGCCTTGTTTATCTATTTGATACTAGGAGATAAGCAGTAGTTCTAACATGCTTTAGTGAATGTGTCTGAAATTGTTTCAAAACAATTGCGGACTGTTATCAAACAGTTTCTTCAGATAATCCACAAACAACCAATAAATTCCATGAGTTTTTGATATTCTGGCCAGTCAACAAAGCTATGTGCTGGCACAAGTACCAGCTATAGATAAGTATATGACTGAATGTTAATCTCTGCAAAATCCAGACGTAGTCTCTGTCTCATTTATGTGTCCTGTGACAACGTGAAGAATTTCAATCCTATTCATTTTCCGTCACTTTTCCACCCAGAGTAATTATTAAAGCTTCAAACTGCATTCTCAGGAAGCAGCATATTTTCTGAGACTGCTCTTTCAAAAGCCTACTTATTCAAAGTAATTCTGCGCATTAACCTGTGACACTCTTTCATTGCCCTCTCATCCATTCTTTAGGAGTACTTGAAGTTTTCCAGTTCTGGATGTAAGACCTCTGGCATATTTGTTTAAAGAAATACTAGGCTGCTGGCAGGTTGGACGTCTTAACATTAGGTAGAACCTACTAACTATTGTCATCTTTGTCAGTGACCTTTTTTCTTCCTCATGAAAAATCAGTGATGATGTTTAAATTAAGGCAAACAGGAAAAATAAAATTTCCATGAAAGTGCAAAAAGACTGTCTCATAGCTTAGCCTGATGGGTCATATACCGTCATTGCTCAAATCCCTGGCAGAGAAAGAAATAATCTTCTGCAATTAAGAAAAAGGTAACAAAATCATACAAGCAAAAATTATACTACAAGTAGCACTAGTAATTTTGGTTCCAGTTCAACAAAGATTTTTAAGACATATTTGTCTATTTTTCTGAATCAGAGGCATCAGTACGATGTTCTTAATCAGCTCTTTTATTTAGTGAAGGAAAATTATTATAAGACCAAATTAAATGGAGATTGCACATAAAGAACTAATACAAATTATGAAATGGAGTTATTGGTGAAAAAAATAGAATCTAAAGTTTAAACCATTTTAGAAACACATAATTATCGTTTAAATATTACAATACCTAAAAAAGCCCCACCTTCTTCCTATCTTCCCCTCAGGTTAGCCATCATTAGAGTAATTGGACGATTTTCGAAATGCATCCTCCTTAGGAGGAATCTTAAGGCAGAAGATCTGAAGGAGAAGAGCATGAGTGGCTCTCCAAATAATTTCAAGAGAGGGTTTCCATAAATACAGAGCAGCACAAGACGAAGCTTAGTGACATCTGTATCAGAGACTAACAAATGAAAGCTCTTGGTGGAGAGAAGGTGGCTGCCACAAGGACTGACAGAAGAACCAAGAACTCTCAAGGACTCATGAAAGTAAGGACAAAAAGCATGGGGATGCAGACAAAGTGTTTAGTTCAAGCAGGAAGCTGAGACGGTCCTTGCAATCTGATTGTCAATGTACCATCGATTTCAGGCTTAAAGCTGTGTGAGGCCTTTGTGGTCTACATGAGAGTGTCATGCTTTATTCCTCTTCTGTGCCAGGGACAAGTTACATCTCATTCTCCTAGCTGTGTGTAAGGAGAACATCAAGGAACAGTGTAAAAATCTCAGAGCAGTTATTTTGATTCTTGCGTTCAGTAAAGACATGACAGCTGAAGTCGATCAGGGCCTGAACGCACTTAGGGGTTCTACAACTTCCCTCCTATTCCATTCTTGGAAACTTGGCTGCCTGTACCCAAGGACAGCTACAGTATGGTGAAGCGGTGTCACTTCGGGCCAGAGTTGGGAAAGAGCTGTGAGAGGCCTCCATGGGGGCCTCCATCCCTCACCTCGCAAGATGCATTCAGGTTTAGGCACTTGCTTCTGGCTGTTGCTTGAGAGGTGTCTCTGTTTTATGAATGTTTGTGGCTAGATCCCAAAATCCTCTTCTCAAAACTGAAGACAGCTAAAACACCCAACAGATCCTTCTATCTGCTTTTCAGACAAATCTCTGAGTGCAACTGAGGGTTCATCTCCACATGAATAGAGAATTTCTCAACCTCTACCTAGTGGTTAACCAGAATCCCTCCAAATGAAGTTCAAAGCATTTCTGTCAGTGGATAAGAGTGTGCCAAGGCATCAGGCTGGACACCATACCTCTTGAAGTCATGAGGGAGAAAGGAGACCATGAAAACAAAAACTTCTAAGGTTTGCTTTCTGGATATGTTTTATTCACGTCATCCAAAACATAAATTAATATATATTTTCATTCATTGGTAGGGTATTAGTTGTGTGGTAGACACAAACATAGACACAATACCTGTTTAGATAACAGCCCACTCAGAGCTGCGTAGAGCTGAGCTCTTAACATACACACCCCCTTGCCCCCATTTTCCACCTCTTTGATCCCTGAAAATATTTACCTTACACTGAAAGCCAAAACCTCCTTTTATCCAACTAAACTAACAGCTGCACAAACTTCTGAAAAACAGCTCCAAAGTTTTTTCTATTAAAAAAAACCCCAACCTGATCTGTTTGGTAAGGACTATTCTCTATAAACTTGCTTTCTCTGTTTATGGATCTGTTCCCTTCTGGAATACATCTGCTTGCTTGGTTGTAAAGGGCTTCTGTGTGATAATTCATTCACATATATGCCTGTCCCACATGCGAACTGCATGCAGAGCTGTATAAAAAATTGGCTTCACACTTTCTATCAGCAGCTGCAAGTTTGGGTCTGACTGGAAGCTCCTCAACACTTAATATTTTGGCCTGTGTAATATTTGTTGTTTGAAGTAAATTTTTTAACTACTGCATAGAAAAGGAATAGAAAAAGGGGAAAAAAAAATCACTAAAGTAGGGGGAAAAAAAATCACTAAAGTATGTAAAATGGCACATTTAAGTTAGCAAACTGGTTCCAAATAAATGAGGCTTGTCACTGCATTCTGAGCATAAATGGCCACGTCCATTGAACTGTCTTAGGCCCAGATGCCTGGAAACAAGACTGGGTCAGCTCGATTAGCAAAAAAAAAATAAAAAAAAAATCCCTGAAGCAGCTGAGAGACTGACTAAAAGCTTCCATGTTTTGCAGCAGACATAAAGGGAAAGAAAACGAAGATGTATCAGGAAACATGGAAGAGAACTGGCACAAGGGGTGGTTATTTTTGGTGCTTACAACAGAATTCCTGCTACCGATTTACACTTCGAATTTACTCGTATAAATCTGAAGCATTCATGCAGCTCATCTGCCGTGCACGCCATGTGGCTGTGCTGTCAATTTCGTCTACGGCAGGGATTAGATTGGGACGCCTCCACAAGCAGCACTGATCTCTCACTCACACAAAGCAGTATGCAGCTTACTATCAATAGTCAAGCCAACCATGTTTTACCTCTATTTATCACAGCACGGTTCAGCCAAGAATTGCAGGTTTCAACAAAAATGAATAATTTTACCAGTAAGCAACACAAACTTTAGATGCCCTCCACCGGTCTCAAAATATCTCGTTTTCCTGGATCGCGTCCATAGCCTGTATGTCAACAGTAGCTGTAGTCTAGCTGAAGAGACTTTTAGTCAGATTCAGAGCATAAAGTGAGGGTTTTAATATAGATGTTTATGCTGAACCTGCGATTACCTCATTTTCATATAAACTTGCGGCATTCTGGGTGTAGTTCGGAGCCAGCTCCGATCGCGTTCGTGGCACCGCGCTCCCTAACGGAGCCCTGGGGATATAAATTCTATAACCAGGGCATACCCCGCGCGTCAAGAGACTTTGCTACGAAGCGCCTAGAAAAATCCAGCGGGGCTGATGGAAAAATCCCGGCCCGGGCAGGCGGGGCTCGGCTTCCCACCCAGCTAAACAAACGGCTGATAACGCCGCGGCGGGCCGGGAGCGCTGCCGCTCGGAGCGGGGCCGCGTCTGTCCCAAGGTCAGCTATTTGAAGTACAATAAACAGGAAGACACGGCGGCGGCGGCGGCTCTGGCTCTGCCCCCGCCCCAGCCCCAGCGCTGCCCGGCGCCCCCCGCCGCCGCTGTGCCCCGCCCGCCCGAGCGGGCGACACCTGGCGGCACCTCGGGGCGCTGCCGCGGCACCTGCCCGAGCCCGCGCCCACCGAGCCCCGGGGCCGGTTAAACGCCTCGGAGCTGTGTCCTTGTTACTGCGATAGATCTGTCTTGAGCTCTTGGGAGTTCTTGCTAGTCCGGAGCGTCCCATGAGTTACACTGGCTTCCCCCTGGCCTGCAACCTCAAACCGCGGGGGCTTTTCTAAATTACACCGGTTGTTTGTCTTTGTGACAGGGGAAGCCCCTCCGTGATACTGTGTGAACTTACGCTCCAACCCAAATGTGAGTAATTCTTTATAGCAAGAAAATCGCCGTTCTGGGTGATCAGGATAAGCAGAGTGTTTAAATATACTTCTTTCAAAGAACTATGGTTAATCTTCTGAATAAATCATTTCAGAGAATAACAGCAGTAACAATCCATTTTAGTATCAAAATAGCAAGAATGTATTTTAAACCAACTGTTTTTTCTGTCCCAGGAAATGGCCAGCCTACCTCCTTTTTTAAATACTATTTTTATAACACCCGGTGGCATGGATTCGAGATGGAGTTAATATTTTTCTCCATGACGCAGTAGGCAGAACATGCTGAAACTTTATGAACCCAGAAGTGTATTCTCTATGATAAACAAAAACAAACTAAAAAAAAATCTCATAAGAGCTCTGCAACTCATATGGCTTTTACCATCTGGCACACAGTCCTGGCACACTGTAAATCTTTGCAAGTGGTATCTCCTTTACAGACTGTAATGCATAAAACCCATATGCCAGGGGCTCGTAGAGGCCAGCCCCTCAAGTTGCAGGCATCGCATAGTGGTGTGAGATGAAGACAAAACATTTGTGATATTTCAAATGAAAAAAAAAAAAATCACCTCCATACCATAACAGTATGGACACCGACAGTGAGGCAACTTTCTGTCATGATTCCTTTCTTTAGAAATGTCACCAATCACACTCAACACAGCTGGGAGTTGAGCAAAGGCAAAACAGGAGAGGGGGATTGAATGTTGAGTGCTTTAAAGATAATTCCAGAGTTATCTCTGGAAAAAATTAAAACAACTCGCATTGAGACATTTAGTAATACAAGATACCAAGGTTACATTTGATGAATACCAACCCTAATGACAAATATACTCCGTGTAAATCTGAGCTCCATGACTTTTGGCAAGGATATAAGCCAGCAGCTCAAAAGTCCTGGCACAGAATATCAACATGCCCATAAATTTCTGCAGGCACAAATACATCTGTTAAATTATTCCTTCATGCTTCCCTTCAATATATAAAGTCATAAGTGTTGACCATTTCATCCCCTAGCTCTGCCATAGGCCATACCTGACCTGAGCAGCATGAAGGGACTGGAGCCCTGAGGAAACTCTGAACAGGTTCCCTAAAGCGGTGTGTCTCTTCTCCAGCCTCTAAAATGACACTGAAAAGCCCAAGGACCTTAAAAACTTAGATTACTCTGAATAAGGACTGTCCTCATGGATTACTACTAGATCTAGCTCATCTGCTCTCTAGATTCAGAATCTTTTTGATCTGCTAAAATGAGGCTAATGAAGATATGGGATGTCTGCATCTTCCCCAGACCTTGTTTGCTTTCTCTGAGGAGTCATCACCATTTCTGACCTGAACTGGCGAAGCATTAGAACTGTAGTAAATTAATCACAAATTATTTTATTGTTTACTCTATTTATGGGGGCATTTTGCCCAAATGTTGAGGTCACACAGCGGCTCTTTCTGACAGCACCACTGATGAAGGAACATCCTGTTAGACTGCTGCTGCTGTGTCTAGATTATCCTGGAAGGTGGAGGTTGAGCAAGGGGGCTTCTACACAAAGCATCAGCCTAATATCTATATGGACCCAGAGGGTTGCACAACTTAAAGAGCCTTTGTCGACCTCACCAAGGCTTTTGATACTGTGAGCAGAAAAGGTCTGTGGCAGATTTTGGAACGTTTAGGTTGTCCCCCCAAGTTCCTTAAAATGATCATCTCACTTCATGAGGATCAGCACGGCCAAGTCAGATATGACAACACTCTTTCTGAGCCCTTTCTAATTAAGAATGGAGTGAAACAAGGCTGCGTTCTCGCTCCTACCCTATTCACCGTCTTCTTTAGCATGATGCTCCAAAGGGCCTCAGTAGACCTCGATGATCAGGACGGTATCTACATACGATACCGTACTGATGGAAGCCTATTCAATCTAAGGCGTCTGAAGGCCCACACCAAGACCTTAAACCATCTTGTCCGGGAGCTGCTCTATGCTGATGACGCCGCCCTTGTGGCCCACACAGAAGCAGCCCTGCAGCGTTTAACATCCTGCTTTGCAGATGCTGCTGAGCTCTTTGGACTGGAAGTCAGCTTAAAGAAGACAGAGGTCCTCCATCAACCTGCACCTCAGGAAGTCCCCCATCATCCCCACATCACCATTGGCCAGTCAGAGCTCAAATCAGTCCAACAGTTTAATTACCTCGGTAGCCTCATCTCCTCAGATGGTAAGATCGACGGAGAGATAGACAACAGGTTAGCAAAGGCATACAGTGCTTTTGGAAAACTCCACAAAAGGGTATGGCGTAATAAACACTTGAAGAAGAGCACCAAGATCAGTGTTTACAAAGCCATAGTGTTGTCTACTCTCCTATATGGTTCCAAAACATGGGTCATCTACCGCCACCACCTGCGTCTCCTAGAACGCTTCCATCAACGCTGCCTCCGCTCAATCTTAAACATCCACTGGTCAGATTATGTGACCAATACATCTGTACTAGAGCGAGCAGCAATCACAAGTATTGAGGCCATGTTACTGAGAACACAGCTGCGATGGGCAGGGCATGTCTCAAGGATGAAGGACCACCGCCTCCCTAAGATACTACTTTATGGTGAACTTGCCACTGGCTGCCGCATGAGAGGAGCCCCGAAGAAAAGATACAAGGACTCCCTGAAACAACATCTCAGCCTTGGCCATATTGATCAACACAGCTGGTCTACTCTGGCCTCAAATCGGGAGGCCTGGAGACACACCATCTATAACGCAGCTGTCTCCTTCGAGAACACACGTAAGATCACTCTCGAGGAAAAAAGGCAGCGCAGAAAGAACCATAAATTGCAGAATACACCTCCTAAGGAGTCTTTCTGCTGTGCCTTTTGCAATCGGATATGTCTGTCTCATATTGGCCTCATAAGCCACCAGCGTGCCTGTAGCAAATGTGGATAGAGCCTTCCCAAATCTTCGTTCGCGAAGCCTCGCCATGAGTCTAATCTGGAAAAACAGTGTTTCTTCTCTATTTATACATCCACTTAAAATTCACAATTAGTTATATCTTTATTCTTAGATGATTAGATAACTTGATCTCTCCTTTGCATAAATGTAAAATGCTTTTAGAATGCCTACCATAATAACACCAGCAGCAACTTCCATAGCCATTCATGGCCTTTTTCTCTGACCAAGGCCTGTACCAAAGGAAGTGGAAGGAAGCATGTCTTCTTCATGTCCCATCCAGTGACATTTATACCAATGTGTATTCTCCACTGTTTGCAATATTCAAGTACAGAAACTCTGCCGAGATTTTAGTACTGTTGTAATATTTTTATTGAAAGAATAAAAAGATTTTTATATAGATAAAGAGATTTTTAATTTGATAAAACACTAAAAGTTGTCTGGTTGTAAATGTAATGATTTGATAATAATAAAAGAATTTGAGTTTGGTTATGGTATATTATTTTTTATACTCTTAAATTAATAATTACTATTCTATTATAGTGATTGATTCTTCTTACCATAGCAGTTGCAAACTCTTACATAGGTTAAGATTTCGCTGTACTAAGAACTGTACTGTGGAAAAAAAGGAAGAAAAAAAACCCCAAATCCTTTAAATTTAAGGGTACATACAGCAAGTCCCTTGTAGTAGAGGGGTTACAAACTGAGAAGTTCAAGAAACAGTAAAGCTAGTTTGATCAACATGATGGATTGACAGACACTGAGAGAATCTAGCTGCTCTCAAGAGATTTGCAGAAAATTTTGCACAGGAGAATTTTAAGGAAGGGTTTACAGGCAGATGGTATGGTAACTTTGCATAAGTTCACAGATAGAACCTAGGGCCTTCTCACTATGTGAAAAGCAGACATGGAAAGCCATATTCCAAAATGCTAACAGGTGGATGATAGATGCTAGAATCTCAGTGCTACAGGAAGCGGAGGCAAGATCTTAAACCTGATCCACAGAGATGAGTGGGAGAAACAATGTGGAAGGAAGCCTGAGTGGGAAGAGCAGGACACTGCCCTGTAGGAGTTGAAGAACAGGGAGACCATGTGTTGATGCACAGAAAGGGATGAGTCTGTCAAAGACAAGAATGAGAAAATCAGTCTTTCCAGCAGAATTTTCAATGAATCTCCTTCCTTTTGTCAAGTTTGGAGAGGAAAAAAGACATAGTTTTGAGATATAGCAGGCATTTCACAAGGTAGAAAGAAACTGCATATTGCAGATTCTATAATGGAAAAAATTGTGGGATTTAAGCACAGCACTACAGCACAGCTCCAGAGAAGCCTGAGTAATATCAGAGGAACATGTGATG